TCCATACAGAAACGGGCTGTTCGGATGGTCGATAGTCCTGCTCTCGCGGATCGCTTGGAACCTCTGGGTCTACGGAGGGACTTCGGTTCTCTCTGTGTTTTATACCGCATGGTCCATGGGGAATGCTCTGAGGAATTATTCGAGATGATTCCCTCATCTCCTTTTTATCATCGCACCTCCCGCCATCGGAGCAGAGTTCATCCATATTATCTGCAACCGCTGCGTTCATCGACAGTGCGTTTCCAAAGATCTTTTTTGCCACGTACCATCCGGCTTTGGGATGAACTCCCCTCCACGGTGTTTTCCGAGCGCTATGACATGTCCTTCTTCAAACGAGGCTTGCGGAGAGTTCTTTATGGTAGGCAGCGGCTTGGCTCTGCCCCTGGCATTGCTGACGTCCATGAGCGACGGTGACCACTTACCATCAGGTGGGCCGTATGCTCGTCTGCCTAAAAAGGCAATAAAAAAAAAATAAAAAAAATGATTTCAGTATTAGATAGCCCATTTATCGAGGAAGGCTATAAGCTATATAACATCACATTAAGACCAATACAAGTGGAGCACCAATAAAGAAGGTTTCAAAATAGGGGTTTAAATAGCTCCTTAACATTGTATAATTCAAAAATATCTTCACTTTCTACGTAAATGAAGTGGGGGTTAAAATTTAGCGCTATGCCAAAGTAACTATTCCACGCGGACGGAGTCGCGGGCAAAAGCTAGTATAATACCTATATAAATGACAAGTCACAATATAAATGAAATGTAGCTAAATAAAGTTAGTATTTATTAAAATTTCAGTTCCAAATTTAATAGTTTTCCTACTGATGAATAACAAACGCAAGCCGGTTTCGCTTTGGAAGCAACTAGAAACTTTTTTAATATCAAAAGAGTTGAACTGAGCGCCTCTTGTTATTCGAATTTCAAACTAAGACATCCTAGACGGTTTGTTTTTGAAATATAAATGTCTTTCGACGTCTATAGGATGTGGAATTGAAATAAACTTCTTTGAAAATTGTGGTTGTACTTTTTCATTAAATTTCTTTGTTTTAAATGCGTTACTAACTAAAAGTCGCTTATTATAATAAATATGATTATAAGAAGAAAAGGTTTGTTTTTAGAATAATATTTACGATCAATCATAATTGCATTTCACCATATTATGAAGAAAAATAATTGTTACTTTTATAAATGGAACTATTACATTACAATAGTACCAAATTTCCGTGGCTGGCTGACTGTGTGTACTGTTACGCTGGTAAGAGCAAGGCCATCTGTCGTCAAATGGTAAAAACGAATAGCAAAGGAACTAGTAATATCGAGAGCACTCGAGAAGAACAACGCCATCTATTGCCAGATAGTGGAAACAAACATCGAAGCTACTCGACTTGCCCAGCATGTTCTCAATAAATCTAAGGACGTCGTATCGACTTTAAAAGCATTGCAGATATAGCACGAAATTAGTCAGTAGTCGGATCTACTCGAAGCGAAACAGCGAACGGATCACCTGAAGCGAAGCAGGAGAAGTGAATTGAAAATTTTGAAGTTCGTTAAGAATTCTAAGTGTTAATACAGTTTCAATTTATACTACGGTAGAATATTTATTTATCCCGAACCTCAGCGCGTAACAGAACTTATCTGTTTGACGTTGTACTTCACAGATATCATACTTAGTTTAAATAAACAAGGGTCACTCACCAACAGAGCTGTTGGCTTTGATAAATGAACAACCACGAGCCCTTAATTCAGTATGTGACTATAAATCACAAAATATTGCGTTCTAGAATTATCGAGAATTCCCTTCTTTTTCTTTAAAAACGTCTCGTCACAAAAACCAATAATACAAAATCCACAGTATCAATCAATCAAGTCGATGCGGACCCTTGAAATGGGTTAAGTGTTCTGTAATAAAACTCCCCGACTTCAGAGTAAAATATCGGTGTAGACCGCGGCCACACCTGGGACAAGCCGCCAGCTATTGACGCAATAAATTAGTATGGAACAAGTTTGACTTCCATATCTCCTTTATTTTTCTTATTAATAATGTTACTTTATGCAATTAATGTGCCATGATTTTACTGTAAATATTATAACTTTGATACAGTGCAACTATTAATTTTACATAATAAATCTCTGCATGGGAACTTTTTTATTTATTCCATCTTGTAAGTCTGTGAAACAGTAATGCGTTTCGGTTTGAAGGGTGGGGCAGCCATTTTAACTATGCCGTTAAAACGGAGACCTTATAACTCATGTCTCGAAGTGGGTGGCGGCATTTACGTTGTACCAAGATGTCTATGGGCTCCGGTTATCACTTAACACCAGGTGGGCCGTGAGCTCGTCCATCGATGCTATAAAAAAAGTATTTTTAGCTAACAATTGCGCCTAGTAAAAAAATTAAGACATTTCAATAAAAACCCAAATGGTTTAGGCATCGCGTTTCATATTTTCTGTGGAATGTTAAAACATCTTAACAAACATCAAATAATGCCTGCCAGGGACGAGGTAGTCTATTAATGAAATAAATACGTATTCCTTCTTTAAACAAGACTTTGCAGAGAATACTTAGCGGTAGACAGCGTCTTGACTCCGCCCCTGACATTGCTGCTGTCCATGAGCAACGGTAACCACTTAGCATCGAATGGGCCGTCTACTCGTCTGCTAACAACAGCAATAAAAATTCTTGAAACCCTCTCGTGTAGGTTTACCTTCGTCGTACAAAACAATAAAGGATAGTCAATAAAATGTCTCAATGCAACTAAGTACTCATTTTTATTCATCCAATATCTATTATTAATTTTTTTATTGCTTAGATGGGTGGACGAGCTCACAGCCCACCTGGTGTTAACTGGTTGCTGGAGCCCATAGACATCTACAACGCAAATACGCCACCCACCTCGAGATATAACTTCTGAGGTCTCAAGTATAGTTACAATTCAAATTTCGAAATTATAATTCAAATTTAGAAATAGGATAATACGTTACTATAAATTTGACATAATTATGGATAAACATCCAGAGTGCACGTCTCCGGCCGGCGCACGAGAGCGTCGCCAAAGTGTTTATTTCTGTACTGAACGCAACACGAATCCGAAATAGAAAACTCGACGGCATTTCTCTGAAGTCGTTGCACGTGGACACACACGGAAAATACAAAACAAATCTGAACTAGAATTTTGAATATTCAAAAAAAAAAAACGTGCTATCATCATGGCGGTTAGACATGAACTGACCGCCATTTTGGTTTTTACAATCGTTTTTAGTTACGCGAACTGTTGCGATATTGACGATGTAGCTGTATATAAAGTGACCTTAGCCACTATGTGGACTGAAGAGCGTTTTCCGAAGGACTATCCACTTGAGCATCGACCTAAGGCACAATGGTCGCAGGTTTTCGGTGAGTACCTCCAATTACACTTGTCTGGTCACACACATCACAGTAACTGCGAAAGTTGAAGGATCTAATTTATCATCGAACTTTCATATGTAGAATAGTATATTGCTATGCAAAGATTAGGACGTGAAATTTTTCGTCCTATTTTTTTGAAAGTATGTTTACTTAGTTTGTTTTTTGTTTACATTTGTATAGATTAATATAAATACAATGACAAAGGCATATTGGTACTCCGCGCATCACGCAAAAAAATCGGTCGTCTGTAAAGTCGGTTTACTGACGATAGTTGAACGTGACAACGTCATAAGAAGATACTGATGGAATGGTTACATTTTTCAAAAGAAAATTTTAATTTTATTTGTTTGATAGATATTTCGTATGGACAATTGACTTTTCACTTAACTTCATACTTGACGAAAACATGCAAATGTATTAATGTATAGCAGCTGTCCACATGGATGCATGGCTCGCTGAAGTAGGAGAAAGACAGATGTCGAACGCTGCCGAACGCGGAGGCCGATTGTGCCTCTTTGTCGCTTGTTGCGCGCTCTCGCTTGCACTTCAAGCCTTAAATGGAACGCCTCAGAGCGAGGTAACGCTGCACGAGTCATGTTTTTTCGTGCGTGCAGCCGGCTCCATGGAATTATAAGACGTTGTCACGTCAAAAACTACCGATTAGAACTAGATCAATTCGTTTTTTGTTGTTTTTTTTTAAATGCTTCAGGCCTATAAACTTTAAAGGCAGCATTGACAATTCACCATACGGACGTCGTAATAAAACCACGTATCTACGTTCAATAAAAAACGTATTTCAGCGAGCGTGGAGCCGCAATTTATTCTTATGTCGAGCAGTCGTGGAAATTTTTAAAACGAATTTATTTCAATCGTTTTCAAACTTTTACCACTTCACGTATGCCATAAACGCGTGAATCTATCCAAAAGTAGTTGATAGTTGACGAATAAGATTGAAACAATAATCAGCTACGGTATGAGCGAAACAATATCAAGTGTTTATTATTCTAATAAATAGATATATTCTATTTCATTCTCTGTCTCGTTCTTCTTCGTTCCTGGTCATTGAACAAACTAGACGTGTTTAGTGGTGCTCCATTTGTAATATAAATTGTGAAGTTATTACAATAAACTATGTGTCTAGAACCAGTGTATTCTCAATCAAACAATATTCCCAGTGAATTAAAGCAATAAGTAGATTCAATATTAAACACTAGGCTATTCAAGAAACTTCTTAATATGTATTAGGCGTACCTAAATTATTTTCCTCATGAAATCTCGAGAACTGATGTTAACATGGTCTACGCTACGTAGTGTTGCGCTTAAAATCCTGATTTTTCTAGAACACTAGCGCGATTGTGAATTGTGAATTGATTGGGCCCATATAATCTGTTCATATTCCTCATCGTCGCACTCTTAACAGCTATTGGTAAATGCTTCGCGCGTTCATTGACTCCAGATCAGTGGTTTGATATACACTACCTGGAACCACTACTCCATACTACCTAGACCCACTGCGTTCATCCACAGTGCGTTTCCAGAGATCTTTTTTGCCATGTACCATCCGGCTATAGAATGAGCTCCCCTCCACGGTGTTTCCCGAGCGCTATAACATACCCTTCTTCAAACGAGGCTTGTGGAGAGTACTTAACGGTAAGCAACGGCTTGGCTCTGCCCCTGGCATTGCTGAAGTCCATGGGCGACGGTAACCACTCACCGTCAGGTGGGCAACAACCACATTGATCCGCTTAGAGCAATATAAGAATAAGTTACTTCATATAGAATCTTGAATCTACATAGAAACGCGACGAATTTCCAATTCTCCATCAATCTACTTTTACCTGTTTTTTTTTTTATATTCGGAATTTTTCATTTTATTATAACATCGAATACATCTCTAAACATTCGTAAATCGCTACAACAACCCAAAAACAATAGCGGAAACCACTAAAACAAAATTGTTCCTTTATCTTTGAAGTGTTGAATGTCATTCCGCGCCTTTCTCGTACAGATAATATATTTATTTGTCTCCCAAATAATGTCTTTTGTAGTACAAGTTGATGTTATCTGTTTCCCTTCGTTTGCAGGTTGGCTTTTGTTTTTTCTTGGTATTTGAAAGTTTCTGGTGTTTTATCATATTGTAATTTAAGTTATCGTGTAAGCAAGTAAACGAAACTATAATGATTTTATTTAACCAAACTAAGGCGATTTAATTTAACATATCCAATTAAACAAAAACTAAATCAAATCAAATATATAAGGTTAAAATAATAAAATTATTGTATTAGCATCGGTCCTTGATATTTAATTTATTTGTAAGTTATAATTATATGTCTTGAATTTTGTGACAATCACGTTGACAGTCAGATAAATAGATAGGAGCTAATAGAAGTGCATTAAAAACATAAAAAAACACAGAACGTTTCCTTTTTTTATTTATTGCTTAGATGGGTGGACGAGCTCACAGCCCACCTGGTGGTAAGTGGTTACTGGAGCCCATAGACATCCACAATGTAAATGCGCCACTCACCTTGAGATATAAGTTCTAAGGTCTCAAGTATAGTTACAACGGCTGCCCCACCCTTCAAACCGAATCGCATTACTGCTTCACGGCAGAAGCAGGCAGGGTGGTGGTACCCACCCGCGCGGACTCACAAGAGGCCCTACCACCAGTAAAACCAGTTTCCTCTTTAGGAGAATACGATTACTTTGTTTCAGGACTTTTTTTAACTCGAGGCATTTCCCATTTCAAGCTATTATTTAATGTTGCTAACTTTGAGCTAAATTTGAGCCCCTTGTCAATGGCTAAGCCTTATACAGGATACCCACTTTCAATTGTTTGGGCCGTTATCAATCATCGACACCAAAAGAACATAATATAGTCTTTAATTGGTCAATATAATAGCCTTTTCCCTCTTTTGAAACTTACTAAATGTGCTTCAATTGATAATTATATCAACACACTAGCGTAAAATAGATACTCTTTTAACCGTTTTGTTAATTTGTTAATTCAAACAAACAAACGGCGTTAGAGGATATAAAACATGAAATTCATGTCAATACAAAACAATAGTACTACTAGGATAATCTTCATCTTGAATTTAAGTAATAATCTATGCATTTATTTAAGCACAAATATTTTTTTTATTTAAGCCCTTCATCAAGCGGCTAATGATCGCTGGAGGGACATTAAAAGGAGTTAAAATCCGGTCGAAATAATGGTCACGACCTTCAGTGTGGAAACGACGCGAGGTGGAGAGGAAATTTTTATATTTATATATGAGGAACCAATATTAGTATATATAATAGTCACTATTATTAGCCCAATATTAGAGCCAAAACAGTATTCTATTTCTTCTACATTTGCACAAAAAAAAAAAAAAACACAAAATATATCGTCACAATAGCTACATGAATATTTGATTTAGGTTTCTCCTTAGTTTATGTTTCCTTTACTCATTTATTCCCTGGCAGCATCGGATTCTTCCAACCCGAAAGAATTCGAGTGCCATTTGTCCTTTTTCTGGCGTAAAAAATCCTTTTGTCTGTTTTCAATCAAAAAAAAATCTCGGACAGGGTTGCCAAATAATGGCATTAACGAGGCCTTTTCAGAAAATAAAATTTTTTCGCATTCGCATGTCAATGTATTCGTACGCAAATACTTTGTTGAGATTTAAAAGGGGTTAAACCTTTTTTTTACCTTTAATGGAACGAGTTTGATAGAAATGTACCTGTTTGATATTTAAGTGAACGCTTTAGGAAAACTGTCAGTTATTGTTCGTTCACGCTCATTTATTTCTTTGTATTATTGAGCACGTATATTTTAATGGATTGGATTGCAACAAGGAATATCTCCCTTATCTCGTTTAATTGGTTGTTATTCTGTGACTATGAAAACTGTAAAATATTTGAAACATCGGAAATAATATATCGACCGCCACAGATTAAACCGCAATTGTAATTATAATCTTAAATTCGCGAAATTCGAATAAAATACTTCCTTATCTCGTTCCTTGATACTCACTTTTGTAAACTCTGTAATCAGTTCTGAGTTGCGTGTAGTATTGCTAAGCTCCGTACTGCATTCTCGCAACGGAGGCTCCCAGATTCGATACCATTTGAAATAAAACGCAATTAAGATTAATAACATCAAACCGTCGATATCCTGTATCTACAAAAATTTATCAGGTACATCTGGAAACCCTCACTCAAAAGACGCTAGAAATAATAACAGAAATGCTTCTAAGGGGTCTCTAGACAGACCGCTTAACAAACTGCCTCGTCTAGAAGGAAGGACAGGTTGAAGTATCAAAAGGCCGAGGAGATAATGGAGGAGATTCCTCGTTACAGCCCCGACATGTATATTCTGTGAAGCGCACAACATCCTTGATATTTCTATAAAGCAGACGTCCCTCCATATCGAATACAACAGCGGTTATTTAACACGAATAGTTTTCTGTCCGCAACTACGCTATATCTTTAATTGAACAAGATATGGCATAGGCTTGTGGACTCGTGGTCAGCAGTGGGGGGGAAATTAAACGTTATATCGCGTGGGCGGAAACTTCTGATCAGCAGTGGGAGGAGAATTAAAATATGTTCTTTCCCAGGACTCGAACTATTTCCATAGCGAATTTCATTCAGTTGTTTGACGTAAAAACTTAACAAAAGGGGACACTTTTGGTGGTTACTTTCGAATTATTATACGAATGATAAACGTGGATGACAGTGTTATCGGTGTAGTTTCTTGTCTGTGGTCTATGAACTCGTTAAGTAAGAATGCCAGATCCTCCTCCTTGCATCGATAATCCTCGGTGCTGAGGGTCGTGGCCTCCTCTAATAACTTTCTCCTGCATTACCTTGTGCCATTCCTGCCTGTCTTCGGCTGTGTGGATAGCAACCGACCAGCGCATTGGATTTCTGCCTCTGGGCCTTCTCCCGCATACCTTGCCTGTTACCAGCAGCTTTTCCAAATTGTCACCTCTCTTTCT